TAGAGCACAGTTATACTCTGCACACATGGGGTTGCCGTGAGTCGGAATCAACTTAACAGCAACTGGTACCCTTATAGGGTTAATGTGAAGACTATATGAGATAATGTACATAAAGTGCTTATCCCATGCCTATATGAAAATTTTCACAAAAAATGTTAACCATCATCAGAGGCAATAATTTAAAATAGTTTCAGAAAAATTCAGAAGTATACACTGGGTCATGTGAAGTATGTGAAAACTCGCAATTACAGTATTAAGGATGCTGCTGTTACTTACTAGCACATAAAATTACCTAGTAAAAAGAGAACAATGATGTTAAGAAAGTAAAAATTAGTATAAACTTTTGTTTAACAAATCTAGTTTCACAATAAAAGGAAGTTGCAACAGTGGAATCAAGTCCAGTAGCAAAACGTGAAGAGAGAAAGACAAATTCATTCCAAGATCTGGCTCAGGAAGGATTGTGGGTAGCTTCGTGCAATGGAAAAAAGCACAGGGCTTGGAAGCAAGGTTTAAGAGTTCTTAGCCAGTTCTGTGCTCTTTGTATAGAATGATGATGATGGATAGGGTGTTTCCAGGGGTCTCTGAACTTTTATTCAATGCAAATCTGTGAAAATTGGCTTGTTTCCTCCATGGAATAAGAATTTAAGTGGATAGCCTTTGTGGTGGGCTGGATAATGGCCTGTGAAAGTTGTCCAAGTCCTCTTCTTGGAATCTGTGAATATGTTACCTTAAATGGCAAAAGGGACTTTTCAGATGTGATTAAGTTAAGGATCTTGAGATAGTGAGATTATCCTAGATTACCTGGGTATGTATTCACAAGCTTCTTTCTAAGAGTAAGGTAGGAGAGAAGAGTCAGAGGCAGAGAAGGAGATGTGATGATGGGAGACAAGCGGCATGAAGATGTACATAGAAGCAGAGAGTGGAAGGACGTGGGCCCAGGAACGTGGGCAGCTTCTAGAAACTGGAAAAGTCAAGGAACTCATTCTCCCCTAGAGCCTCCAGCAGAAGCATAGTCTTTATCCCACTGAGACTGATTTGAACATCTGCCTTCTAGAATTGTAAGATAGTAAATCTGTGTTGTTTTAAGCCATGAGATTTGTAGTAATTTGTTACAGCAGCAATAGGAAAGTAATAGAGGGTTTGTCCACGTGGTTTTACCAAAAGGAGGCAAGTTGTGTCACCTGAGGTACTGTGCAGAGACATTTGGGTGATCCATACATTTCTTATAGGTATGGCTTTTAAATAAGTTTTTCAAATTTTGGTAATTATTACTATTGGTAGGGAAACAAAGGCTGGAAATCTCTATCCTCATTCCTCCCACTTCTAATTTTTCTACCTTGACTAATTCTTATGAGTGAAATTTTTAATCTCCCTGTGATCTCATTTCATAAAACCCTCTTGAAATAAGAGCTCAGACCCAAAACAACAACAAATAACACAGATTGACACTAACCTATGAAATATTTCCACAGAATAGGTCATTTCCAAAGCACCTCTATGCATACTATGAAGCTGACACAGAGGAGGCTGAAAACCAGATTATTAGCTCTGACCCAAGCTGACTTAACATTAGAACACACCACAGCTTGTTTTAAGGAGTGGCAAGACATAAAGTAGGTTGGTTGGGTTAGTTATAAAACAGGCGTGACATGGTGGTGGTTGTTTTTTTTCCACTAACATCTGTGCCATACCTTAACCTTGTTAAAATGTTTCTCTTCTATTCTCTGTAACTCCATGGTATCCTCACTGGTAATTCAATTATTTTAAGACTCATTGAACAGCCCTTTCTCTTAGGAAGGGTGGTTCAAAGGATAAGATTGTGGCATGGCTAAGGGATACTGTAACACACTAACATTTACAGGATGACTGACTCTCTGATGGATCCTGGCCTTTCTGGACAGCTGCCTTCACTGTATTTAGGAGATTCTAGGCCAGGTTTTTTTTTTTGTTGTTGTTAGCTGCTATTGAGTCGGCCCCTGCCTTATGGTAACCCCATGCAAAACAGAACAGAACGCTGTCCAAGCCTGTGTGATCCTCCTGATTGGTTGGGGATTGGACTGTTGTGCTCCGTTGGGTTTTCAATGGCTGATTTTCATAAATAGATGGCCAGGCATCTTAGTAGATCGAAGTCTTAGTTTGGAAGATGTCCTAGTCAGCATCGTAGCAACACACCTATTCAAATTAGCCGACGATTAAACAATAACACACGTGAGGAAAGTGCTTTTTAGCTGGAGCAAACGTGCAACTCCTGCCCAAAAGCAAAGACGACAAGGCAGGAAGGGACAGGAAAACTGAACAGATGGATATGGGGAACCCAGGGTGTAAAGGGAAAAGGGGAGAGTGCTGACACATTGCCGGGATTGCAACCAATGTCACAAAACAATATGTGTATAAATTTTTGAACGAGCAACTAATTCTGTAAACTTTCACCTAAAGCGCGCGCATGCGCACGCACACACGTTAAACAGAATATGACCCAGCAATTCAACTCCTAGGTATATATGCTAAAGAACCAAAAACAGGGATTCAAACACATACTTGGACACCAATATTCATACAATATTCATTCAGCCAAAAGGTGTAAACAACCCAAGTGTCCATCAATAAAGGATAAACAAAATATGGAATATACATACAATGGAATTTTATTTAGCCATAAAGAGAAATGAAGTTCTGATACATGTACCACACAAATAAAGCTTGAAGACATTATGCTGAGTGAAATAAGTCAGACACAAAAAAATATATGATTCCACCTATATGGAATATCTAGAATAGGCAACTGCATAGATATACAAAGTACACTGGAGGTTACTAGGGGCTGGAGGGAGGGGAGATGGAGAATTATTGCTTAACGAGTACAGAGTTTCTCTTTGGGGTAATGAATTTTTTGGGAAATAGGAAATGGTTGTACAACATTGTGAGTGTAATTAATGCTACTGAATTACACACTTTAACATGGTTAAAATAGCAAATTTTATGTTATATATATTTTACCACAACAAAAAAAGTAAAAAAAAACCCAAATTTAAAACCTATATTCAAATCTGCTAACGTACATTTTCATTTCTTTCTTTAAAAAAAATCTCAATTCCTGATGTAGCTTCTTTTTCAGTTACAGAGAGTATTCTGCCTGAAGAAAAAGTCTAGAAATTAAAACATCAGGCTTATAAAACTGATAAGCTGTGTGTGCAAATTTTTATTTTGAAAAAATTACTAAAACGATTCTTAAAATCTGAGCTCATCAAAGTAAGTAATTCCATAGATAATTGGAATCATTCTGGGAACGAGGTGCTTTAATTCCATTAGAACCACTGTTTTAATTAAATTGATATATTTTAATACAATTTTAAGAACAGCAGCACAGCACTTCTAAAGTTTTAAATTGCAGCAGTCCGTAAAATGCAGCTTGGTCACTGCTTATTTTCTGCCTCATCAGCTGATAACCCTGCAGGTCCTAGTAAGCTACTTAGGACCCAGTTCTCAGTATGGTTGTTTGGTCTCGTGCGGGCTGGGGCTTAATTTAAGAGAATGGTGCATGTGGAGCATCCTTTAACATTTTTTTAAATAAAAAAGGGAATAAAAATTAGGTACGACTATCAATTAGAAAGAAAGTGTTTTATTGACATCTGGAGGTACAACCTACAATGTACAGGCACAGCCTCGGCGCACAGGAGATGCAGGTTGATAGATTCAAGGGGTAAGTAGTCACTGCAGGTACTTGCCAACCTAGGAGGAATTACAGAATTGGAGCCTGAGGTTCTCCTGCTTACAGGCTCTTAAGGGTATCCGTACCCTACTGCCCTTTTCCTCTTGCCCACTCTACTTCAGAAAGAGATACTACCACGAGCTCTATATTTATGCACAGCAAAGTGGCAACAAAAACATTCATCTGATTACAACCCCCAAATCCTATTTTTAATTTGCATTAAAAATGTGACATAATATATAAATGGTTGCAATTTTTTTCCACAATATTTCAGATTATTGGCAGAGTGCACTTTAGAGAGGCTGGATGTAAGTGTCACAGTAAATGGAAGAAAGTACAATTAAGAATAAAGATAACATCAATAGATAAAATTGCATATTTAAGCAAGTAGAAAATGTGACTCAGTTTATCAATATTGTTATTTACACAGGACTTTTAACATACATATATCACAAAAAATGAAGTACGTACAAAATTCAAACAAATTATTTGACTGAAGAATAATAATGGAGAAAGGCATTTTTTTAAATTTTTCACCCACAATAAGAGTACCTCTTGTTTTACATAAATAAGTGTAATAGGCACAGATAGGCTTCTGCTTTGCTCTGCCAAACCCAAAGCCTGGAATAATGGAATCTTAAGGTTGGATCATTCAGACACTTCACTTACTGGTGAAATGGGAGACAGCTACCTAATTCTGGCAGAAATTTTACATCGCAATGCCTCCTGCTCCCACAAAGAGATAAAACAGAGTTATGAGAAAGAGTGGACATCTATTTTGAAATGAGAGAAATTCCTATGGTCTGGAGAAAAGAGACTAGCACAAAGGACTGGAATATACCCTACAAAACCCCGGAAGTTCCAAATCAAAGTGGTTCTCCCTTCAGCGACACAAGCCCAACTGCATCTTACCTTTCCTTTGCTAAAACTATTCAACTTAGTTACCTGGATATTTTTTCCTGATGGGAACATATTCCCAATTTTATAGCAAATGTTGATGGGAAAATAAGTCCACTTTGCAGAAAATTGCTTTACAAGCAATATGCTAGAACATTTCTATAAAGTGAGAGAGACACTGGCATTCTCTCACTCACGTGAATTTAACAAATTGTTTCCTTTTAAAAACTGGAAGGGAAGTTGGTAGGTAAACAGAACATGTTTGCACTTGAGCAGCATGATTCCAGGTATCGATACATGCAATAACAAGAGATCACAGCAGGCCAAATAATTACTAAGTACTCTTTCTTTGCATTACAGAAAGATCAAAATATGTGCTAACTTTCCAACCACCTCACTGTACTGACTGTGCATTTACTAATTTAAAGTATATGTCTCGATTTCTCAGGAGCTCTTGATGAGTTCCCTGCTCCCTTATTTTTCCATTGTACAGAACCACTATCAAATCTGCATTCTGTATTGTGGAGAGTCTGTGGGTCACGATTAGACACGTCCTCCCTCTCCTGGCTTTATCCAGGGCATGCTGTACCACCTGGAAGAAAGAAAGACCTGTGATCACTAGCTCTGCTTAGATGCTAATAAACTTGTCTAAGCCAAGGCACTCAACGTAATCTAATAACATTCTTCGTTTTATTTGCTTATCCCCACAGAAATTGCCCTACTTTGTGAAATATTCACCCTACTCAATAGACATCTGGAAAAAGTAATTATAGACACATCAAGTAAGACTTTCGATTGGAAAAGCTGTGACAAATGAATAAAAATGAATTGGTTGTTTGTATGCAAGTAAGTGGTAATTAACAGGTTCCAAATTCAAAGCCAGAAAGGAGTATTTCCACACCTAAGCAGAATTGTCTAATTTATTTACATCATTTCCTCTCTCTCTCTCTTTTTGGTAGGAGTTGGCTGTAAAAGTGTCCTGACTTAAACAGCAACTCAGCTAACAATGAAGTTTTAATGCTGGATAGAGGTAATGGACTGGAGGGTAAAAACCAGTTTTTGTTGAATATATAAAATGTTCCAAGGATGGATATCTCAATACCCTGTAAGGTGAAGGTATTTTTCTGATGAGGAAACTGAGATACCAAGAGTCCAGGTCATATGACCAAGGCTATACTGCTAGTAACTAATGAATCCAGATTATAGCCCAGATTTGTCTGATTCCAAGTTATGTTTCTTGCTTTCACAGTACACTCTAGTTTTCACTGGGAATCAAGAATGATGTTCATCCACCAACAGCAGTTGTATGGGGGTTAACAGCATGGGCTCTTAGGTCAGACACCCTCTATTAGAATTTAGGGAAGTTATTTAACCTTTCTAAGCCTTAGTATGCTAATCTGTAAAATGGGTATGCTAATAAAAGAAGCTAATTCATCAAGTTGTTTTGAAGACTGAGATAATAGCACATAATAAGCACTCAATAAATGTTAATGATTATCGCTCTTCTAATCAATGTTCACTTACCAAATAAGTGCCTACTATGTGCAAGAAAGTGCTAGGGGAGGGGGACATACCAAAATTAAACATCTGAATGAGCTTGCAGTGTATGCGTATTGTCACTTTGCTTCTTCAGTTCCTGCTCAAATCAGTTGGAGTAACTAGCCTGTACTGACCCTGCAATGTAGACCACTCTTTTACACATGTAGATTGCCTTATTAATTTGTATGGCATCGCTGGAATAAGAATCATACAATAGGAAAGTAACTTTTCTTGGGCATTTTCATGCAGTGGAGAAATATTTCAAGACTTGGTCCTGTTTTGATACTGAGATGAACACAAGTAGGAAAACCTTTCCAGAATATGAGGTGCCTTGTGTCCCGACTCTCTCCCACCTCCCCACTAGCCTCTAACAACACTGGTGACTCTATGACCAAATTCCTTCCAGGCCTTTCTTTCTCCAAACTGGCCTCGATTTGGTCCATGATACTGCACTTCCATATTTGGTATTATATTCTGAGAAGAAACAAGAGGACGTTACCTTTTCACTCTCGTTATCAAGGGCTGAAGTGGCCTCATCCAACAATAAAATTTTTGGTTTTCGAAGAAGAGCCCTAGCAATAGCTATTCTTTGTTTCTGGCCGCCAGAAAGCTGTGCTCCTTTCAGTCCAACTTGTGTATTGTATTTCTATTACAGGAACATGCAATTAAGAAAGCAAAGCTTGGTTATTTAAATTAGCATGGCAAGTGTGGGTGAGAACCATCTAAATATTTCAAATTTTGCTACTCTTGAAAATTGGTGTCCCAACAAGTGCTGAAATCTATTCTTGGGCTTTGTTGCAAATAAATGCTCAACCAGCAATAATCACTACTATCTCATTTACGTATCTAGTTTGATCACAAACAGTGACCTTTGACATTAGGCTTCTAAAAGAAATTATTTGAATTAAAGCATAAATACAAAAAAAATTGGCAAAAATTATTTCAGTATACAAATCCACTTCCACTAAGTTACATTACCTTCTATTTTCAGATCAGAATTACATATTTAAAGTATTTCAAAACAACAAGGAAAGCCTTGGGAAACTTCACTTTGACTCTCAGTAAACCTTTCTGGAGTTTACTCAGATGTTGGGATGCTATTCTCAGTGATACACTCATCTACCTGGCAGCAAGTTAGACCTGAATCCTGAGACAGTCTAGTCATCTTTTCAGGCCGTAATGCTGACATTTAGCACCCCACAGTGTTTCCACAGTTCCTCAGCTTACTAATGCCCCCTTCTCTGGTGTTTTCCTCTATGGAAGAGTGAGGGAAATTTCACTCTTATCCTGAAGCCATTGTGGCCCCCTAAATCATGACTGGTCAGTTCAGTTGGTTCATGCAAACCCCTGCTTACTTTCTAGATTGTTCCATTGGCTCTGCTTTCCTCCAAAGTTTCACACTGCTTCCTAGTAATCCTTGCCAGTGTCTGACAAAAACATGTCATTGGTACCCAGCCAAGAATATGTGGATGAATCAGTTCCACTGAGAAAGTAAGTCCAAGTGTACAACCTCCTAACAGTGGATCTGTAGACGCATCACAGAGAAGATGTAGCATGTGATTATAATGCTGGTCATTTGAATACCCCAGAGAAGCCTGAGTTAGTTGCCTTTTTCTCTGTATCTGACTGTCTTCAGGAGGTGCCTTTGGACAGAGTGGTGCTAAAAGCCTGTGACATAACCTTATGACAAATGAGTCTACTTCACAATATCAAAATTTGCTTTTCAATTTAAAATATACAGTTACTTGCTTTATGGTTGCCTGAATTACTGTTGTTGTTAGATTCTGTCGAGCTGGTTCCAACTCATAGCGACACCATATACAACAGAACAAAACACTGCCTGTCCCTTGCTATCCTCACTGTTGTTGCTATGTTTGAGCCCATTGTTGCAGCCACTGTGTCAATTCATCTTGTTGAGGGTTTTCCTCTTTTTTGCTGATCCTTTGCCTTACCAAGCAGGATGTCCTTTTCCAGGGACTGGTCCCTCCTGATAACATGTCCAAAGTATGTGAGGCAAGTCTCGCCATTCTCGCTTCTAAGGAGCATTTTGGCTGTATTTCTTCAAAGGCAGATTTGTTCCTTCTTCTGGCAGTCCATGGTATGTATACTCAATATTCTTCACCAACATCATAATTCAAAGGCATCAATTCTTCTTCAGTCTTTCTTATTCATAGTTCAGCTTTTGCATGCATATGAGGCGACTAAAAATACCATGGCTTAAGTCTGGCACACCTTAGTCCTCAAAGTGACATCTTTGCTTTTGAACACGTTAAAGAGGTGTTTTGCAGCATATTTGCCCAGTGCAATACGTTCTTTGATTTCTTGACTGCTGCTTCCATGGGCATTGATTATGGATCTAAGTAAAATGAAATCCTGACAACTTCAATCTTTTCTCCGTTTATCATGATGTTCCTTATTAGTCAACTGTGAGGATTTTTGTTTTCTGAATGTTGAGGTGTAATCCATACTGAAGGATGTAGTCTTTGATCTTCATCGGTAAATGCTTCAAGTTCTCATGCTTTCAGCAAGCAAATTGTGTTATCTGCAAATTGCAGGGTAGTTAAGCAGTCTTCCTCCAATCCTGATGCTAAGTTTTTCTTCATATAGTCCAACTTCTCAGATTACTTGCTCAGCATACAGATTAAATAAGTATGGTGAAAAGAATACAACCCTGACGCACACCTTTCCTGATTTTAAACCATGCATTATCCCCTTGTTCTATTCGAATGACTGCTTCTTGGTCTACGTACAGGTTCTGCATGAGCGCAATTAAGTGTTCTGGAATTTCCATTATTCCCAGTGTTATACATAACTTGTCATGATCCACACGGTTGAATACCTTTGCATAGTCAATAAAACGCAGGTAAACATGCTTCTGGTATTCTCTGCTTTCAGCCAAGATCCATCTCACGTCAGCAATGATATCCCTTGTTCCATGTCCTCTTCTGAATCTGGCTTGAATTTCTGGCAGTTCCCTGTTGATGTACCACTACAACTATTTTTGAATTACCTTCAGAAAAATTTTACTTGCGTGTAATATTAATGATATTGTTTGATAATTTCTGCATTCTGTTGGATCACCTTTCTTTGGAATGGGCACAAATATGGATCTCTTCCGGTTGGGTGGCTCGGTAGCTGTCTTCCAAATTTCTTGGCAGAGACGAGTGAGTGCTTTCAGCATTGCAACTGTTTGTTGAAACATCTCAATTGGTATTTTTAAATTCCTGGAGCCTTGTCTTTTTGCCAATGCCTTCAGTGTAGCTTGGACTTCTTCCTTCAGCACCACTGGTTCTTGATCATATGCTACCTCCTGAAATGGTTGAATGTCGGCCAGTTCTTTTGGTCCAGTGACTCTGTACATTCCTTCTATTTTCTTTTGATGCTTCCTGTGTCTTTCGGTATTTTGCCCAAGAATCCTTCAATATTTTAACTCAAGGCCTGAATTTTTCCTTCAGTTCTTTCAGCTTGAGAAATTCTGAGCATGTTCTTCTCTTTGGTTTTCTAACTCTAGGTCTTTGCACATTTCATTATAATACTTTATTTTGTCTTCTCTAGCTGCCCTTTGAAATCTTTTGTTCAGGTCTTTTACTTCATCATTTCTTCTATTCCCTTTAGTTACTCTACATTCAAGAGCAAGTTTCAGATTTTTACCAAGTTCTGCGGTCTCCTGAACAACTAAAGCCTAGTTATTTTGAAGTGAATGCTCTACAAAGAAAACAGACTTTATCTATCTCCTTTGCAATGTATCTGAGGCTGCCAACACACTGGGCCCCTTCCTCCTAAAATACATTTTATTAAATTCAGAATCATAGGGCAGGATAATCTGATAAAACTGTCATCTATTTCCATGTACTGCAAAGTACCCATCCAAATTAAAGGATTCAATCTTACACCAAAAATTGGAGGGGGAGGGGGAGAATGACAATGGGCTTGCAGCCCTTCTGCCATTCTGACTTAAATTGTACATGGTTTCTTCTAGAGTATCCGAAGAAGATCCAAAACTAGTTAGAGATCACTGTGCATTTCTTGACCTTCTCTAATTGCAGGAAGATGTAATTTTCAAAAACTGGATGAAAATTCAGGTGTTTTCCCAGTCATTAAGCAGAACAGATTATAAAAGTGAGTATACGTAGTGTGTCAATAAACTACAAAAACCCAACCTGTTGCCATCGAGTTGATTCCAATTCATGGAAACCCTACAGGACGGAGTAGAACTGCCCCATAAGGTTTTCAAGGCTGTAATCTTTAAGGAAGCATACTGCCACATTTTTCTCCCACAGAGCTTGTGTTGGGTTCTAACTGCTGACTTTTGGTTAACAGCCGAGTGCTTTAACCACTGAGCAACCAAGGCTCCTTTGTCAACCAAAAAGCCCAAACCCGTTGCTGTTGACTTGATTCTGACTCATAGTGACCCTACAGGACAGAGTAGAACTGCCCCATAGGGTCTCCAAGGATCAGCTGGTGGTTTCGAACTACTGACCTTTTGGTTAGCAGCAGTAGCTCTTAACCACTATGCCACCAGGGCTCCAACAGAGACCTAAAAACATGTTTAGATATAGTTAAACTGAAGTTCCACACTTTCCTGTTTAAATTGAAAAACTGACTCTATCTTCTGGCATACACTGGGATGATGAGTGACCTGAAATCACCTCTTTTATGGGATGCTCACAGGGTAACGGCTCCTTCAGTATGAACCTGGGGCTAAAAACCAGGTAGGTCCTAGAGTGAACACTAGAAAGACTCTAACCCTAAATCACCTGCATTCTGGGGAACCCCTGCTGGCCCAGGGGAGGAGTTTCAGGGTGGCTCCAGTGGTCGAAGTCCAAGTCAAGAAGCCATGGTATAGCTTGACTGAAAGCTGTCACTGTATGATACTTGTGGGGACTCGTGGGAATCCATCCTGGTGTGTTTTCTCAGAGGATCCTCAAGACCAAGTTTTAAGCAGGGGAGGGACAAGATCTAATTTAGTTTTTTAATAAGGATCTTTCTGGTTGCTGGGAGGAGGAAGAAGTATAAAGGAGCAACACTGAAAGAAGGAAGACAGATTAAGAGGCTACTGCAGTGGCCCAGAGGAGGAGGATGGTGGTGTGGACAAGAGTAGAGTGTAGATGGAGAGAAGGTGAAGAATCAAAATATAAATGTTAATCCAGTGAACAGTAATATGATTTTGGTCTTGGTGTTGGAAAAGATATCACACAAAAATGTTGAACTTTGTTCTTAAAGTTAGATGCTGGTAATTAATAAAATTATACAACCCAAGGAGTACATAAAAACAACCACTGAGGCTCTGTCATTACTTAGGCTCTCTTGACTGCTTTGTAATTCAATGTTTCAGACATTTTCTCACCTCAGGGAGAGCGTCAATAAAGGAATGGATATTTGCTGCATTTGCTACTTCTTTTATCTCATCCAATGGCACAACACGACTGTTATCACCATAGGCAATGTTCTCGGCAATGCTGCAGTTGAAGAGCACAGGCTCCTGGGAAACGATTGCTATTTGGGAACGAAGCCACTGTACGTTTAATTCCTTTGCATCTGCACCATCAAAGAGCTGACAAAAGCAGAAGGAAGAACAGTATGTTAAGGTCTGACAACTGTTATCATGTTACCGTGTACTATAAAGATTTCATATTCAAACATATACAAATCATAACAAGAAGGTGAGGAATTCAAGGTATGGCAGTGTCATGTTACCCAAGGAAGGCTCATAAATTATCTATTTTATAGACGCAAACAGCTTGAAACTGACTAACATGCCGACTCCTAAACTCACTGACTTTTCTAGTTACGACCACATATTCTAGAGACCTGCCTGGAGTCTGGAGTAAAGCCTGGTGGTCTGTTCTAAAGTCAGATGGAAAAAGGTCAACCACCTTCTCCACGGTTAACAGGGCTCCACTTTAAGTAAGCTCAATCAGACAGTAAGATATAGACTGATACAGCAGTCCACATGTAGAGGTATGTCATTCTGCACATTAAAAAAAAAAAAAAACCATTACCCTGAAGTTGATTCTGACTCATAGAGACCCTACAGGACAGAGTAGAACTGCCCCATAGGGTTTCCAAGGAGTGGCTGGTGGATTCGAACTGCTGACCTTTTGGTTAGGAGCCAAACGCTTAACCACTGCACCACGAGGGCCCCATTCTGCCCACAGCCATCTTTATTCACATGGACATATAACAACATTCAATTATATTCGATGAGCCATACCTACTACGTGATGAGGGCTCTTCAGCATGGGGAGAATACAAAGACAAAACAAATACAATGACAAGAGAAAACTCTTGCCCTCCTGCGGTACGATTAATAACTTTTGTGTGTGGCCTTTCTAGCCATGGTCTTGTAACTCTCAGCCAGGTGACTGTGTAATAGGGTAATTGTGGCCTACCAAAGGGATTGGTCACTTCTGCCTTAAAAGACAGCCAATTCCAGAGCAGAGTGGAGAAGCCCAGCACCACCAAGGAAGGACAGACTTGGCAGCAGGAGATGGCATGGTGGACTCCCAGCCCATGGAGAAAGAAAGTTGAGTGCCTTTGGGGAGAGGCCTAGGGCCAGGGAGAGGCGTGCCTCCAAGCACAGGTTGCGGGAGGTTATCTTGATGGAAGAACTGTATCCTGAGTGTTCTTGAGCCTGAATTGTAACTGTTACTTCCCTAATTAACCCCATAATTATCAGTATGGTTTGTGAGTTCTGTGTGGCCACTGCAATGAATTATCGAACCCAGCACAGAAGTAGAGAGTGCTGTGCAAGGAACAGTTGGTGTCAGAGTTGGCACAGATGGCAGAGAGAGAAGGCATATCTGACCTCTGCCTCATAGGAATCAGCCTTGGGCTGTTAATCTTTGTTCTCCTTTCTGTTTGTGAGGTTGGAGGAGGTCAGACGCTGCCCCTAAACCGTTTTTACACATCCTGAAGCTTACATTCTAGTGGAGAGAGGTGCGCAGTAAACACGCTAACAAATAATAAACTCAGGAATACTAAGTGCCAGGTCATAAAGGACACTGGTTGATTGTATGGACTCTTGTTTATTCTGATTTAGGCAGGAAACCATTGGAGGGCTTAAAGAGGGGAGTATCCTATGCTGTGATCTGTGTAAATGGTTAGATGAGCCTTATTTAGTTCAAGGGAGCCATTTTGAACCATTCCATTTTGTAAAGATTCACTAAGAATCTGTGATGTGGAAGAGACTGTAAATTGCAGTAGAGAGAAGACTAATACGACAGCCTTTGCCCTTAAGGGGCTTATGGTTTTTTGTGGGGAGAAGATAGGACAAGAAGGGGTGTGTGTGTGTGTGTGCATGTGTGTGTGTGTGTGTGAGTGTGAGTGATGGTTGTTGGGGAGCGGATAATAGAAAATCAGAATACAGAATAGAGGAAATAAATGCTAGGTAAGAAAAACAGTTCTTGGGGTTCAAAGGAGGGAAAAGTTGGATCTTTTTTGAGATTAGGGGAACAATTTAATGGAACCGATTCAAATAAGCCTTAATCATGCATAAAGTTTTGACAGTTGTGGAAGGGGTGGTGGCGCTGGTGAGACCTGAGCCAAGAAGGTGGAGGAAACTATTATCTTTGTCTTAAACCAGAACGGAATAAAGAAAGAGCTCTAAAGTGGACATTAAACCTGTCTTCCAACACTCGTATTCTAAACAAATTCCATGGCTTACAAGATAAAAATCTTTACTGCCATCATGGCTGCAAATCTTTGGACTTTTGTATTTCGACTCAAAGGTTTTTTGTTGTTGTTGTTATTTGTTTGCTTGTCCTCTTAGTTAAGGACTGGGATAGAGAATTTTATTTTTTAAACTTCTGTACTGTTTGCCCCACCCAAATGAGTGAGGATGCTTAAGCCCACGTGAGTGTTTAAGAATGGTACCACTAGCTGCAGGATTTAAATTCAGTCTTACCACTTGCCCTTTCAGGGGGTCATAGAACCGCTGCAGAAGCTGAACACAAGTGCTCTTCCCACAGCCGCTGCTCCCGACGAATGCTACTGTCTTCCCTTTCTCGATACTGAGGCACAAGCCCTGAAGGATGAGGACATCTGGGCGACATGGATAGAAGAAAGAGACTTCTCGAAACTCTAAATTCCCTTCACATGTGTCCTGTGAAAGGAGGTTGACAGCATTTAGCAGAGTGACTTAGGAAGGCTGTAGCCTATTGTAACTCATTGACTGAACATTTTCTAAAAACCAGGCATATGGTCCACAACCATTTTAACTTGAATCACCACATTCATCTCTGTAGAGTTGCTTACTGCGTATCAGTTAGTTTCTGTTACTTTTGTTGGTATTTATCATTACATATACAAATAATATAAATAATAAAAACATAAAATAACATTTTTGTTACCTTCACTACTGGATTTTAAGTCCCTACAAAGCACTGGCTTCCTTTGGCTTCACACACGCGTTCCTTCAGTACCCAGACACAGCCTGTTCTGTGGATGAACTGTTTGACCAGCAGCTCTGAATAAATATATCTTTAATTATTTGATTTGGGCTTTATAGACCTTTATTGTTTAATTCAGAATAGATGGGGTCCTCATAAACTATATGTATAATACTTTCGTAAACTATACTATGTTTTATAGTTAATATACGTTATGTTTTGAATCTGATTTATCTTCATTTTCAGTTGATCATTATTTGGCAGTGGCACTTGCCTAAAATTTTAGTTTTCTCCCTATGTTTCAATCTCTTTATGGTTGGTGATTTGTAAGCCAATACCGACATATACCAGGGATGTTTAGAAAAGATTTTTCCAGAGCTATCACTAAATGATGATTAATCTCCTTTCTGTATTTGTTAGATAAGATTTTAGTTTCTTTTGAATTTCACACTTGCCCCCAGTCAACTGCCTTTTAAACAGTAGTAATTTTTGTTGTCGTTGTTAGTTGCCGTTGAGGTGATTCCGGTTCATGGTGACCCCGTGTGCCAGAGTAGAACTGTGCTCCCTAGGGTGTTCAAGGCTGTGACCTTTCAGAAGCAGATCACCAGGCCTGTCTTCTAAGGCACCTCTGGGTGGATATGAACTGCCAACCTTTCAACTAGTAGCCAAGCACTTAAACCTATTTTTGTTGTTTGATTAAACATAAACTAAGAAGGTATAAACGGATCTTTCTTGTTCGCTGGTGATGGTAGTGCTAGTTGGGCTTTCAAATGTATTCCTTACAGTTGTTTTCAGCGTATCCTAAGCACAATGTATAGGGGGAGCCTGGGGCTGGTGGAGAGGAAGAACACCAAAAAACAGTTTGAGGATGATATTATTCTGTTATTAAAGGAATGAAATGTGACGATATAGTTAAGAGTTCTGAAATTAGGAAAAACAAATTGTGGAAGGATATATGCCAAAATGCTAAGTATAGTAATAGAAAAGTTTTATTTTCTTCTTTTAGTTTATTCAATGTTTTGTATTTTCCCCTCTGAATATTAATTGTGCAAAAAAGGTTAAACAAACAAACAAACAAACAAACCAAAAACCCAGGGTATCACAGAAAAATGGAGAATGTAGTTATTTCTGTGTAGGCACTGGTGCTTTCTGGCAAACCACAGGGAGATATTCTTGGAAACTTCTAGACTTTAATACATTTTTAGATTTATTCTAACCATTTTTAATATTATGGAAAATTTTAAACATGTATAAAAGTAGAGAGAATTATGTAATGGACTGCCATATGCCTATTACCCAGCTTCAACAATTCTGAATATTTACTAATTTTGGTTTATCAGATTTGAATTTTTAAAATCATAGGGAATGATATTTAGAAGCATTTGCATATTAAATAAAGATTAAATAAGTTAATTTTATAGTCTTTTTAAGAAACATTTCCATATTCTATGATTATATATAGTTCTATAAGGACATATATCAATGAGATATTCAATTCCTCTATTATAATGTTTAGAAAGAAATAAGTTGAAATACTATTACACACCTAAATCATAAGATTTCAAATAAATAAATCACTTCTCACATCCTTTACATTCCAAAAGACAAGCAAGAAATCTTGTTTTGACTCTGATGTATATTTGAGCATTCTAATTTTGAGAATTTCAAGATCTTTTTATTTCTGTCACTAACAATGGGCACTCCTTTTAACAATTATGTAGTTCTAGTGATAATGTATTGTTTTAAACTGCCAGACATAAACAATTCTACCGTTAAAGTTCTAGAGGGAAATAATTTTAAATGAAAAATTTCTTTTAAGTATCTGTGTAATGGCTATTTTTCCTTTTAAATTTAAAATATTTAGAAAGGTCTTAAAATTTAATGTATATTTAAAGTATAAGAGGCTTGTTTTGATATTATTCAATCTCCTTATTGTTTCCTTTTAAATATTCAGTCTTATAGTTTGTGGCTAAATTGTGTGTGTATGTGTGTCAATTTAATAAACACATTTCCATTTTTTTCCTTCTGGTTGCAGACATATTTCCCATGAAAAATGGTGTTTGAAGCAGCACGACATTACTTACATGCATATATTATCAGCAAATAAATAAAAATACCCTAATGCAAATCTTCATCCAAGACTAAAACTATTGCTGCCTAAATAAAACGCAATATAGAAATCAGTCCTTTGTTCAATAACTTTGTCATGACATCGGCAAATAAATAAACTAAGATCATGCATTTTTTATATAAATATTTATATATTTTAGTGCAAGTGAACATTTGATTAAGAAAAGGCTCCCTTTTTCCATTTGTAGCCATAACAATTATTTTATATAATCAATTCTTTGTTATTATAACACTGTCTTTTGCAAAGTTATCAAATAATGTCTTCATTTAAGTCTCTATTTAGAAAGCATGTATATGTACAATTTATAATAAGTGGACATTCAAAATCATAGTTGTGCTTACTGGTTTTTTCCCATTTTGACTGTGGCTATCTATGGTTGGCTTCTTCTCCAACAAATCAAACAGATGTGCAGCCCCAGATTTGGCTTTGGAATATTGAGGTGTCCAAACAAGTGTTTCTCCAATGGCCAGAGCTCCATATGCAACTGCAGTAAAAATTCTATCAAAAGATAAGGCATTTTAATCTTAGTTAGGTTTACTTTAAAACAGTGGACCTCTAAAAGTAAAAGTGGGCACAGATGTCCCAGGAAAAGATAACTTTCAGTGCAGTCAGTGAGACAGAGGCATAATGTGCTGACCATGCTATCGAATTTTAATCTGGATTTCTAGAATAACAGCTAAGTATTTGAGAAAAATACGTTCTTCCTCGGTGGTCAAAACCAGGATGTGAAACCATATGCCTCGAGGGGTCTTGACCAAGTGACCATCTGCACCCCTCAAAATGCATGTACTCAGCACGAGTGTTGTCTCAGTGCTGTTGCCAACAAGGTACTTTTGCAAGATAGACAAAATACAAGTAAGCATCCTATGAAACAATCTGTAATCACTAACTATACTATTAATAATCAGGAACCAATCAGAGTGTGACTATTATAATATTCATTGATTTTCCTGTAATTGCCTTCCCTATGATTTGGTTCCCCTTTTTACCCCGTAAGGATACTTGCATTAATGAAACTTCCCCGGAACTACCTGGTTCCATTTTCAACGGGCTACGCAGTCTCCTAATTGCAATTGTTTTAAATCCTTAATAAACCTCTCTGTTTTAACTTGAAACAGCATTCTAGTTTTTTTCTAAACACGGGAATATAATCTCTTGGCCCAGACAACCCCACGAATACTGAAAGTCCAACAATGGTATCTTTTAAAATTTCCAACCACATAGCAATCATCCCTTGCTCTGCACACCAATATAACCTTTGAGGCTTAGGTCATCTTAAACATTTCTCTTCCAATTAGAGACACAGATCAAAGGCCTCAACTAGTGAATATAAAACTTTTTGTAGCCACCTTGATATAAGGCTTGCTTACTTGGAGATTTGACAGAGAATCCAACTGACAATAGGAAGAATGAGTCTCCAGTAGTGAGATCTGAATTTACACAGTAGATATGACGTAGATATTCTTTTGCATAGAATGTAGTTAGAACAGATAATTGCAGCTGGATGATTGGTTATCTGCCTGTTGTGCTACACAATTTAAAGAGAGCAGAGCTTGGGGGTTATATTCTCTCAATGTCCCAAAAACAAAATCTGGCTAAAACAGA